CTGGGTGTCATAGCCCGTGTCCTTCCTGCCCTGTCCCCACGGGCAGGGCTGCAGCAGAGGGGCAGGGGGCAATGATGTGGCACTGATGGAGGTCTGGGCGTGTAGCCTGCTCTGCAGTGTGATCCTTCCCTGTGCTCAGAGCAGCTGCCATCCCTGTCCCCTCCACAGCGTGTCACAGCAGATGGGACAGATTTTTCTATGAGGGTTTGCTGCTGGGGGGCTGTTTGTGAGGAACGTGGCTGCTTCCCTGCATTGTGACCAGCCTGTCCTCTGTCGTGCTGGTGTCACTGCCTGGTCCCTCCTGCAGGAGCTGTGTGGTGGCTGGGGAGTGCAGGCTGCTTGTGGTGTGTCTGCTGAAGGCTGCTCTGCCCTTGTTCCAGCTCCAGTAAGCAGGGACAGCTGGGTCAGGGGGAGCTGCAGTGCCCAAAAGGGGTGTCCAGGGGCTGAGCACTGCCCAGCTCAGCTCTCTTCAGGCTGTGGCTGAAGGGGGCTCCTTAAGCATCGTAGAACTATGGAGTGGTTTAGTTTGGAAGGAACCATAAAGATCATCTGGTTCCAACCTCCCTTGCCATGGGCAGGCACCTTCTGTGGCTCTCTCCCTTGGATGCAGTGTTGCTGTTGCCTGTGGTGCAGGGCTGGTTTATCAGGAGTGAGGGAACCTGTGTTTGCCAGGGGGTGCCTGTCTCTTGCCAAGGCTCCCTGCCATGTGGGTCACTTGCAGTAATGTCAGGGCTGCGTGTGGGTCCTGAAGAGCTGACATGGGACCCCCACGCAGCTCCACCTTCCTTGGCACAGTGGGAGTGGTGTTGAGGTGTCTCCTGTCTCTACTTCCAGCCAGGGGTGATGCCATGGCTGCTGCCAGCTCCAGCAGGGCCAGGGCTGGGCTGCCCTGCGAGAAATCCCAGCTCTCTATAAAAGGTGGGTCCTGCTGCCTTGCCAGAGCCTGGGATGAGGAATGTGGGTCTGGGTGCATCTGGTGCAGGCGTGTGCTCTGTCTGCACCCCAGCTGGGAGACGTGGGGGGCAGAGGGGCTGGGGATGGCCAGCACTGTCCTGTGGGCACCTGGGGGAACAGGGG